TGTCGCCCTGTAGCCCTAGCTGTCCTGGAACTCACTATGTGGACCAGGCTGGCCTTGAACTCACAGAGATCCGCCTGCCTCTGCCTCCAGAGTGCTGGGATTAAAGGCGTGCACCACCATGCCTGGCACATTTATATATTTTTTTATTTATTATTTTTATTTTATGTATATGAGTGTATTGCCTGAATGTGTGTAAGTGCACCCAGGTCATACAAAGCACTCCGAGGTCAGAGGAGGGCATTGGATTTCCCTGGATCTGGAGTTAATGGATGGTTGTCAGCAATCATGTGGGTGCCAGGAATCAAACCCCTGGTCCTCCACAAGAGTAGCTAGTGCTCTTAACCATCTTAGCCATCTCTCCAGCCCTACATTTACATTTTTTACTCATTAGCAATGAAAAAAAAATGGTGCAGGTGATAAGTTAGAGGTTATTGAGAGCAGGGTGTGACTTTGAATACACACCTTACACAAAAGCTAGTGTGAGTCCAAGACTCAAGGCCTCAGAGAGGCCCACAGGCCCTCTACTAGAAAGAGCAGACAGAAGATAAAGAAAATGCAGATTGAGGTTGTCTCTTGAAGCCTCTTAATCTATACTGTAAATGTAAAAGTCCCTTTGGAAGACAGTATATTTCCTTTCTATTTCTCATAGACCTGATACTGCAATAGAAAGAGCAGCACAGGAGGGTATATTCCCAGACTGGAAAACTGAAACCAGTTTGCTTAATACAGTGAGAAAAAGGGGTCTGGCAAGGATCTTTTCACCAATCCTGGCAGTCCTTCATGTACCAATCCCAGGCTTTCTGCTGGGCCACGATGGGAAGTGCACCCCCAGACCTCCAGCTCTTAAGTTCTTTAAATTATTCACAGAAAGGATGTTTACAGTAAAGACTTAGGAAATGCTCAACTTACCACTAGCATTTCTACCACCTTTAACAGTGCTTATGTCAGGCAGGTGTCATCTTAGCCCTCAGGAGGCTGAGACAGGAGGATCACAAGTTCTAAGCCAGCCGGGCTACAAAATGAGTTCCATCCAGGCCAGTCTAGGCTTGTGGAGTAAGAGTCTATCTCAAAAACAATTCACAACAAAAGCCTACTATCTAATCAAGGCAGCTGAGGGGAGACTCAGACCCAGAGGGTGGGGTGTGGTGAGAGAAAGTGAGCAAAGGACATAGGGTAGGGGCTAGGCTGGACCTGATGCTAAGAGTTTTAGTCTTTGATTGTTCAGCTTGGAATCTGGGCTGGTCACCGCCTGGTGAGGCAGCTTTGGCCTGAAATTACATCATCCAGGGAAGCCCTGGGGAATCTCCAGGTTGACCCTGATGCAATCTGTTTCCAACTTGCAGCATGGCCTGCCCTAGGCCTCCTGGACTCTGGCCTTCAGGCTCCAGCTGCCATGGCCTCTTGCTGCCCTCTCCTCTCAGATTCTATAGTGACATGTATTCAGCTTCAGCTCATCTCTATCCTGAACTTGCCAGGTGGTGTTTGGGCCTCCCTTCCCCATCTGTGAAATACCTCCTGGTCTGGAAACCATGTAGTATGCTCACTGACAGAGACCCAGCCAGACTGCCAAACTGAAGTTCTATTTCTTTTTTTTTTTTATTTCCTTTAACTTTAAAAATGTTTATTCTTGCTGGACGTGGTGGCACATGCCTTTAGTCCCAGCACTCGGGAGGCAGAGGCAGGCGGATCCTCTGTGAGTTCAAAGCCAGCCTGGTCTACAGAGTGAGCTCCAGGCAGCTGGAGCTACAGGGAGACCCTGTCTCAAAAAGACACCCCCCCCAAAAAAAAAGAAAGGTGCAAGCTAGAGGCCAAATTGGCCTACATATAAGTCAGTTTGAGGCCAGGCCTGCTCTGCATTTTCACCTTGCCCAGAGTGTCCTATCATTGACCTTCATAGTATGGCCATCCAGAAGAGCTCTTCCCTAGTCAAAGCAGTCAAGGACACTGTGTTTCTCTTGGGTTCTATTTGTCTCCCAAACCCTGTTTTTGTTTTTTTGGGACAGGTTTTGTTAGATAGTTCGAGCTAGCCTGGAATTCACAATTTCCATCTCAATTTCTGCATACTTGCATTAGCACACCTGACTTTTTCCTGTGCATACCCCAGGGTCTTGAAGGACCAGTCATTTGTCACCTACTGAAGGACGTCTCTGTTGTTTCCAGGTTTGGACAGTTATGAGCAAAGTTGCCACAGACCAGTTTGTCATCGCCACCTTAGCCACTGTCCTGCCTGGGGACAGGAGGGAAAGAGGGCTGGCCCTAACTATCCTGGTCTCTGGGCCACACTGAAGAGGTTAGTCCCAGCCTGATGAATGGGTTTGTGGTTCAGAATAAATTCCTGGCCAGCAACATGGCTCAATGGAGAATACTTGCCACTAAGCCTAAGGATTTGAGCCTGATTTCTGCAACCTACATGATGGAAGGGGAGAACTGACTCCCACAAGTTATCCTCAGAGGTAGTCTCACATACACACACCCACACCCACACAGCCACATAGCCACACACACACACCACGGAGTGGGGCGGCGGAAAATGTAAAAAATTTTAAAGCATAAATAATTCTGGGCAACATTTTTGCTAGGCTGAG